TTCAAGTGATTCCCCTGCTTCAGCCTCCCAAGTAGCTGGGATTACAGGCATGCGCCACCACATCTAGCTAATTTTGTATTTTTAGTAGAGACGGGGTTTCTCCATGTTGGTCAGGCTGGTCTTGAACTACCAACCTCAGGTGATCCACCCACCTCGGCCTCCCAAAGTGCTGGGATTACGGGCATGAGCCACTGCATCCGGCTGGAGAGACTTCTTGTTTTCAAAGTCCTTTGGGCATGAAGGTTTTTCAGGGGCTGAGGAACATGGCTCTAGAGTGACCCACTGCAGTCAAATGCTGACATTTCCTAGCTAGTACCTAAGACTCAGGTTTCCTTTCTGTCAAACTGCATAGGACTGTTGTGAGAATGAAGAGAAATAATCTACACAGGGTGTCAGCTCACAGCCTCGCTCACAGGATGCACTTTGATACCTGTTGCCATGACTGTCATTATCATATTGTTACAGACATTATAACCCATCACTTCCCACCAGAGGGCAGGGCCATGTCCCACATGTTTTGTCTTAATTCCTGTCAAATTCTTGGTATCAGAGTTGTCTACATTTTGAAATTCTTGGTATCACAGTTGCCTACATTTTTGAAAATCACAGTTCAGAAGGATTTCAAAACAAATCTCGGAAGCTGACACAGGCTTTACCAATTATTTTGCATAGTAAGGAAAGTAAAAAAGTTAATTTTCATTTACTGTTACCATAATGTGATTTTTAAATAGGACATTTTAATGCCAAAATATTTGGAAGCACAATATAAAATAATTTTTTAAAAAAGAGTCAAATAAATCTAGCTTTATGTTAAAAAAAAAGAAGAAGAAACAAAAACACTCACGCCTCTTTTTTTTCATTTCAAAGCAGCCTAGTGGCCACAGCACCCCCACAGGCACCAGTCCATGCTCCATGATCTGGGAACCTGCTCTGCAAAGCAGCCACTTGGTACATATTTGTTGAATTACTGAATTCCAAGCTCCAGCTCCATCCACCTGCGCAAGACTGGACCTGTCGCCTGTGAGGCCGGTGGTGCAAGCCAAGTGTGCAGCACTCCTTAGTCCTAATTATGGCTCTGGGCTTCCACACAAAGCCGGGAGGCCCTTTGGACAGAGGAATGCAGGAGGCAGTGTAGCCCCCTGGGTGAGGACAGGCTTGGATCTGAATCTCATTCCATCAGGTACTCTGTGTCTTTAAGCCTCAGCTTCCTCATCTATAACCTGGGGAGGCTGATGACTTGCCTTGTGGGGCAGTTTCTGAGGATTAAACCATGTAAAGCATATAAGGGGTCTGGCAAAATGTCTGGCACATAGAAAACAGTGGGTGAGGCTGAGGTACCACCACCAATGCCACCTTCAATATGAAGTGGGAGTAAAAGCAGGGGAGTGGAGAGGACTGCAGTCATGGAATTTGGCAGAATAGGAGGGGAAAGAGGCTGTTCCAGAATCAGAGGCACCACCCTGAAGCCCTAAGAGGAACAGGGGTGCTGCTCACCTGATCGAGGTGATAGTGGTCCGTGGGGTATGGGTCATGGAGGTGGCCCAGGGTATAAATCCTCCGGTGCTCACAGGATGTGGGAGAGGAGATTGTCCGCGTAGGTTGCTCTCTCTTCTGAGAGGAATTAGAAGAACTGTCTGTAGCTGTCTGTGTAGAGAGAGGTAACCAAGAGTCAATTTAAAAACAACAAAACCCCTGCGTGCCAAACCCTAACATGCACTGTTCAAAAACTAGCTGTTCCCCCGTTGTGGCATCTTGCTGGTCTTCCCAAAATCTTGAGTTTGTCTTGGCTACAACAGGAGGACCCCTGAATGGCCAGACTGTCTAAACACAATGTGGCTGGCTCAACAGGCAGAGAAACCAAGTCACCAGACCCTGGAAAGGTGAGTTTTTCTTTCTTTTTTTTTTTTTTTTGAGTTTTTCTTAAATGTGGGACTAGTGACCAGGTGCTGGGGGAAAAGGCTAGATACACCAGGATCCCCCTAGTTTGATCAAGAATGGTTACCCTGGCCAGGCGTGGTGGCTCATGCCTGTAATCCCAGCACTTTGGGAGGAGTTTAAGACCAGCCTGGTCAACATGGAGAAAACCTGTCTCTACTGAAAATATAAAAATTAGCCAGGCGTGGTGGCAGGCACCTGTACTCTCAGCTATTTGGGAGGCTGAGGCAGGAGAATTGTTTGAACCCAGGAAACAGAGGCTGCAGAGCCGAGATTGAGCCGCTGTACTCCAGCCTGGGTGACAGAACAAAACTCGATCTCAAAAAAGAAAAAAAAAAAAAAGAAAGAAATGGTTACCCCATTTGTGACCCTGGTTGTGAGATATTATGGCAAGCAAAGAAGATGCAGATAGGCAAAAATAAAACCTACATGTTTATATGGGGGGAATCCCCACCTGGGAGGGTCTCAGAGGCAAGGATACTGCAGGGGTATGTTGAGTACTGGATTTCCAGGAAGAAATTTTGTATCTCTGGGGTTGGGTGCAAGCCTTGAAGGTCACTTTAAACTAGAAGTGAGATGGATGACTGCATAGAAAAACAAAGCCACCTCTGTGAAGGGTGAGTTAACAGCGTTTTGCCCAGGAGAGATGACAAATTACGAATAGAGTCTCTGTAACCATGTCTTTGGAAGATGATTAGCTATCAGTGCAAACTGTACAAGCAAATCCCACAGGCATCCAGTATATCACCTGATATGGTTTGGCTGTGTCCCCACCCAAATCTTGTCACGTATTTGTGGGAGGGACCTGCTGGGAGGTAACTGAATCACTGGGCAAGTCTTTCCCATGCTGTTTTCATGATAGCAAGTAAGTCTCATGAGATCTGATGGTTTTAAAAAGAGGAGTTCCTCTGTACAAGCTCTCTTGTTGCCTGCTGCCATCCATGCTAAGATGTGACGTGCTCCTCCTTGCCTTCCGCCATGATTATGAGGCCTACCCAGCCATGCGGAACTGTAAGTCCAATAAAACCTCTTTCTTTTATAAATTGCCTAGACTCCAGTATGTCTTTATCAGCAGCGTGAAAACAGACTAATACACCGCCTAAGCACTTCATGATCCCACCTGAGACATGATGGAGCAGACAAGGTGACCCAAGGTGGTGGTCATACTCCACAATCCGTTGGACCCAGGGAACATCCTTGTTAGATGTAGCTGGCAACCATCTTTAAAACCAGGAGCCCCAGAATCCCTACCCTTCCTTCTGCTTGCTTAGAGTGACATATCCCTCCACCATTCCCCAACTAAACAGATGAAAAGGCTTTTCCTGATCTCTAGATACTCTCTTTCTGGCAAATCTACAGGAATTTTCCCTTGGTTACTATTTCTTACTTGTATATTTCCCTCATCTCATTTGCTTATCTTTTTTTTTTTTGAATTTATTTATGTAGTTGAGACAGGATCTTGCTTTGTCACCCAAGCTGGAGTGCTGTGGCATGAACACAGCTCAAGTGATCCTCCTGCTTAAGCCTCCTGAGTAGTTGGGACAATAGGTGTGCACCACCACCCCTGGCTAGTTTTTGTATTTTTCGTAGAGATGGGGTTCTTGCCAAGTTGCCCAGGCTGGTCTTGAACCCCTGAGCTGAAGTGATCCTCCTGCCTTGGCATCCCAATGTGCTGGGATTCCTGGCATCAGCCACTGTACTTGGACTTATCTATCTTTTCCTTTTACATGTTTTTGTTAGCTATCATAAATCATTTTAGGGACAAGATCAAAACAAACAGACTCATAAAAAAAGTTCTTTTTATTCTCCTCCCATTTATAAAGTAAAATATACTCAGAAAAACAGCACTACAAGAATTTAGGAAAAAGAAACCCATATTTCCGTTATGCAACACAGGCACTGTTAAGTTTTTAAACCTTGGTCTATATATGCAGCATCCCTCTGGGGACCCAACCCTCCTGGATTTTTCTCTACTTGGTTTTTGGTCTATGCCATGCATGGCTGATGCTTGCTTCTGATCCCCCAAGCCATGGTGACTGATTTCAATAGGAACACATGGTGCTCTCTGAAGCAATACAGAGAGACTTTTGACAGAGAGGTCAGAAAAGCAGCTGTCTCCATTTCTGTAATCAAGATCTAAGGGTCCTATAAGCCTGGAACCCTGGCACTGGTGTGGGGAAAGACTTGCCTGAGGATGAGAGCAAGAGAAGCTACCCTTAGACTCCTTTGGGCTGCTGGATCCAGCCAACCCTGAATCCTGACCCACTCTACGATGTCCCAATGATGATACCAATTTTCTTTTGTAACTTAAGCCAGATTACACTGGGTTTGTCACTTGGGTGCACTTTCCCTTCGCTTTGGATTCCTTCCCGTGGCAGCAGTCCTACAGGCACCACACTCCTGGCTTCCTTCTGCCCCTTACTCCTCAGGTGGGTGTAGTAGTAAGGTTCCCTCCTCTTCCCCACAAACAACTCTTCTTGGTGTCATATGTGTGAGTGCTTAAGGTGTGCCAGGCCCTGAGCTACATGTGGACACGGTTCCTCAACACAGCCAGCAGGTCATAGGTAAAATACCACACCCATGTCACACATTGGCACTAAGGGACTCTGAGAGAATCCAGGCCATGATGGCACAGAGTCACTGGCAGAGCTGGGCTGAAATGCAGCCTCCCTGACCACAAACCCCAGGGCGATTTCTAATAGGCCTCCCACACTGCTGCCTCTCATACCCAGGTAAGCCAACTTCTAACTCCTATGCTGAGAGGTATTTTGTTGAGATTAACACAAAACACAACTTCTCCAAGTCACAAGGTACACCCTGCTGTACAAAACCCAGGAGATAAGGAGATGATGTCTCACAGTACAAAGGTTACTAAAGACCTCAATAAATACCTCTCAAATGAGTAATCAGGGCCCTTCAGTGTGATTCAAATCTCAAGAGTTAAATTCTTATCCAACAGCCACATTACAGTCATCTATTAGGTTAGATGTTACCCTTGTACTGAACATCGTAATAAGCTCTCAGCACTTAGTTCTCAGAAACCCAGTTAACACATCACGGTCACCACTGTGTTAGTCATCTGTTCACCCTAACCCAGCCTATTTTCTGTGACCCACGTTTGAGTTAACAATGTGAAGAAAGTCCTTCTGAGAAATGAGGCACATCCGGCTTTTCCTAGGACTCATTAGTCCATCAGAAACGCTACCTTCCGATATTCCCATCCCACCTCCCAACCCTCTGTCCCTGTGCAGCCTCTCTGCACAGTCCAGCACAAAGCTCCCTAGACATTTGTCAGAGGATGCGAGGCTGAGAAAGGCCTTATCCAATGAGGAATTTCTATAGCGAAGCAAGAAGGCCAGAAGACCTTGAGAAGCACGACCACAGTCTACTGCCTCCTGAGGGCAGAGCTAAGGGTATGTCCTAGCCCAGCCTATATGCAGCCTGCCAGGCCCAGCTGTTCAGGGTCGTGTGAACTCCAAGAAGGAGAGCATGCAAAGAGAGGCTCCATTGGAAGCCGAGGCCTATTTCAGATTGATACTCTCAGACAAATCTTACAAAGTAGCTAGTATGACCTACAAACAAAAGGAATGCACTACCAGGGCATCTCCAAAAAAGGTAAGGGGGAAAAAACATCTCCCTTTACCCTCATGTACCTCTGAACTGGCTCTCCTGTAACTCTGCCCTGGTTTCCATGGGCTGCTTTTCTGTAGCCCACCCGAGGTGTGCACATACCTAATATGCAAACAAGATTCTTAAACATCTCTTTGTTATTTCTGTGCACAAGCTACTGACACCTACCAACCTACCAATCCGAAAGCTGTCACCTTCAAATGAGTGAGTCGGCAATCACATGCTCCTGACTGTATTTCCACTTGCCTTGCTCTCCAGTGGGGGTCTCTGAACTGTTAGGGCTTTGAAGAACAAAAGCAAAGGTCCTCTGTGACTACTCTGTGCTTGGGGACTTCAGGCTCCTAAGAGGCATGGCTGCAGCATCCTGAGAGAGCAGGTCAGAGTGGCGTTTAATGTCTCCTGCCATGGACAGTGAGGCTGGGCATTGCCATCTAGGCACGGCTGACAGTGGGAGGTCTCGTGCACTATGATGCAGTGAGCACAGCCCTGGCCACCTGCAAATGTACCCTCTAAAAACACTCTTGCCTCTGGGTTTGACCCTGACTCAATGCCAATGCCTGTTAATAAAAAGATGTCCAGCTGGGTGCAGTCGCTCATGCCTGTAATCCCAGCACTTCGGGAGGCCAAGGCAGGAGGATTGCTTGAAGCCAAGAGTTCAAGACCAGTCTGGGCAACAAATCAAAACCCCGTCTCAAAAAAAAGATGTCCAATTAAGAATGGTGCAACCTAATATGAAGCACTGAACAACAGAAATACAGGGGAGTAGTATAATGCTAAAAACAACAGGGTCTCAGCTCAAAGACTAGGTTGGACTCATTCTCTGCTAATTATAAGATGATTTTGGCCGGGCGCGGTGGCTCAAGCCTGTAATCCCAGCACTTTGGGAGGCCGAGGCGGGTGGATCATGAGGTCAAGAGA